TACGAAGGCCGGCGTAAAGTCAGCCACGAATTCCGCTAAGATTTGAGATTTTATAGCGGTTCGAGGTCGATACTCGATGTTGTACCCGCCGATCTCTATGGCCCATTTGGCCAACCGACCTGAAAGCTCAGGTTTGTGTAAAATATTTCGTAGAGGATAAGTTGTTATAACATGTATCGGATGGAACTGGAAATATGGTTTTAGTTTCCTATAGGCACTTATTAAAGCAAGCGCTAATTTTTCTAAGTGTGGATATCTAGTTTCGGCCTCACCTAAAGTTCAACTTATATAATAAATAGGGAATTGCGTACCTCGTTCTTCTCGAATTAGGACTCCACTTACCGCTATCTCTGGGACTGCTCGATACATATAAAGATGTTCGTCTGCCTTCGGGGTATGAAGCAACGGAGGGCTCGATAAATACCGATTTAGCTCTTCCAAAGCCTGCTAACATTCCGGAGTCCATGCAAAATTTCTTTTCTTTTTAAGCAGAGAGAAAAATCGGTGGCTCCTATCCGAGGATCTCGAAATGAATCGTCCCAGGGCGCTATCCGTCCTGTTAGTCTTTGCGCGGCCTTTACATTATCTACCACTGTGATGTCCTCGATTTCTTTGATTTTATCAGGGTTAATCTCGATTCCTTGATTGGACACCATGAAACCGAGAAACTTGCCTGAGCCAACCCCGAAAGCACATTTTTCGGGATTGAGCTTTATGTTGTACTCCCTTAGTATGTCGAAAGTTTCTTGAAAATGCTTTAAATGGTCATCTGCTCGCAGGGATTTAACTAACATGTCATCAATATAAACCTCCATTGATTTTCCTATTTGATTTTCGAACATTCTGTTTATTAGGCGTTGGTAAGTTGCAACAACATTTTTTAGGCCGAATGGCATTACATTATAACAGTTGGTTCTGTACTTAGTGATAAATGAGGTTTTTTCCTGATCCTCCGGGTTCATCTGTATTTGGTTGTACCCGGAATAGGCATCGAGAAAACTGAGAGTCTCGTGGTCGGCCGTGGCATCGATCATACGATCGATATTAGGCAAATGAAAAGAGTCCTTAGGGCATGCTTTATTCAGGTCTTTATAATCTATACACATTCTAAGTTTGTTCCCCTTTTTAGGGACTACCACCACATTTTCTAGCCATTCGGGGTATTTTTACTACCCGAATGGACCCTATTTTAAGAAGTTTGGTTACTTCGTCTTTGATGAAGGCGTGTTTGACCTCGGACTGGGGCCTTCTTTGTTGTTTTACCGGGTGGAATTTTGGGTCCAAGCTAAGCTTATGAGTGGTGATTCCCGGTGGGATCCCTGTCATGTCTAGATGGGACCAAGCGAAACAGTCTATGTTAGCTATAAGAAATTGAATAAGCTTTCTCCTGAGCTCGGGATCTAACCCTGAGCCTAGGTATACCTTTCGTTTGGGAAGATATTCCATTAGTATGACTTGCTCTAGTTCTTCGATTGTTGATTGGGTGGCATCGGAATCATCAGGAACCACAAAAAATCGAGGGACCTATGTTCATCATCTTTATCAGTCTTCTGATTCTCTAATTGGGTCGAAGCTGACGTTTGTAATTGCTATTTGGTATTCCGTTCCTCCTTCGAATCATATCCTTTTGCTGATGATAATGATGACATCAGAATCACTTTATCGACGACAAACATTTCTTTTGCGGACGGTTGCTCCCCGTAGACCATTCTGATTCCCTCCGATGTTGGGAACTTCAAAACCTGGTGGAGGGTCGAGGGTATAGCCCTCATAGTGTGGATCCACGGCCTTTCGAACAGGGCATTGTATCTCATATCGCCTTCGATCATGTGGAACTTCATTTCTTGGATGGTTTCGGCCACGTTAACTGGCAAGATTATTTCGCCCTTAGTAGTTTCACGTACCATATTGAATCCGTTTAGTACCAAGGTTGCGGGCACGACCTGGTCCTGTAGACCGAGTTGCTCTACGACCCTCGATCGAATGATGTTGGCCGAACTACCTAGATCAATTAACACATGTTTAACTTGAGTTTTATTCATAAGTACAAATATTACCAGTGCATCGTTATGTGGTTGCATGATTCCTTCCGCGTCTTCATTATTAAAGGAAAAGCTTCCTTCATGGGTGTAATCCTGAGTTCGGGATCGCTTTTCTCTTACAACCGACATCTCAGTGCATTTAAGCATCGGCCCTTGGGGGGTATCGATCCCACCAATGATCATGTGGATGATGTGTTGTGGCTCTTCTTATTCGTTTTGTCTATTGAAATTCATGTTCTTGAAATGGTTTTTGGCCCTGTCACTTAAACATTCTCAAAGGTTCCCTTTGTTGAATAACCGAGCTACCTCCTCTTTTAGTTGTCTTCAATCTTCTGTTCTGTGGCCATGAGTGCCATGATATTCCCACATTTGATTGGGATTCCTCTGGGCAGGATCAGTCTACATAGGTTGAGGCCATTTAGTATCTTTGATGCGTCCGATAGCCGATACGATAGCAGATGCATCGATGCTAAAGTTATACTCCGATAACCGAGGTGTTTCCTTAGGTCTGTTATGCATGTCGAACCCATTCATGTTTATCAGCCCCCGATACCCTTGGCCTCGATCATTTCTCTTTTCGCCTCGTACAGGGTTGTGTGAAGGTTCACTACCCCTACGATCTCCGTTATACGGCCGGTATCGATCCTTGTTTGACCTTGGTTCTCGGTCGATATCCCTTTTAATATCGGACCCAGAACCTAACTGGTCGTCTTCGACTCTTATTTTGGATTGATATCCATTGTGCACATCGGCCCAAGTAATAGCTGGGTACTCGATCAGGTTATGCTTCAGCCACCGTGAAGCCATCGAGCTTCGTTCATTTAGACCTTGAGTGAAAGCTTGAACATCCCCATCATTGTGACTGGTGGTAGATCCATTCGCTCCATTTGGAAATGAGATACGAATTCTCTTAGCATCTCGTTATCCTTTTGTCTTACCTTGAATAGGTCCGACTTCCTGGTCTCGACCTTTATGGACCCAGCATGTGCTTTTACGAAAGAATCTGCAACCATAGCAAAAGAATCAATAGAGTTAGACGGTAAATTATGATACCATATCATTGTTCCCTTTGACAGGGTTTCACAAATATTTTCAATAATACTGATTCGATCTCATCGTCCTCTAGATCGTTCCCTTTGATGGCACATGTGTAAGAGGTGACATGTTCGTTGGGGTCGGTCGTTCCATTATATTTAGGAATCTCGGGCATGCGAAACTTCTTTGGGATCGGTTTAGGAGCCGCGCTCGGGGAGAAAGGCTTTTGTATGAATTTTTTGGAATCTAAGCCCTTTAATATCAGTGGCGCCCCCGGGATCTGATCAACCTTGGAGTTATATGTTTTCATTTTTTTGTCGTTTGCCTCGATCCTCCTTTCTCCTGACTCTATTCGTTTTGTCAGTTCTTCGAGCATCTTAACAATTTCGGGATTAGTACCCGATTCTTGCTCATTTGACCTTACTATAGTTGGGCCCATTTTGTGGGTGACTTCTTGGGGTGGACTGGGCTTGAGTATGGTCGGTGCCTTTGTTTGGCTCTACAACTGGGCTATTGTTGTTTGTTGAGCTTGAAACATCTCGAAGATCATACGCAAACTGATTCTGTTTTCCTTAGCGTTTTGGGTATTTCGAGTTGCAGACTGAGCTCCACCATGAATGCTATTTTCAGGGTCGAAATGTTGGTTCGCCTCTATGGCCGCATGTGAATTGACGTCTATTGGCTCTTCGATCCAAGCTCCAACGGGATCGACGAATGGCCTTCCACCCCCGGGGGTTACGTTGTTGTTCTCATCTTGAAGGCCAGTTTCGCTGTCGATAGGTAGGGCCATTAATTGAGAATTCATCGTTTCAACCTGAAATTAAAGATACTTCCAAGAGCAAGTGTAAAATGGTGTGTTTCATAGAGATTCGTACCAAACAACCACTGTTATCCTTAGCCCCACGGTGGGCGCCAAACTGTTTACTCGAAAAATGGATAGAGTTGAATTTATACGTAGTTCTAAGGATACGTGATACAACTTGGCATAAATCGGAAAGTAAGTAGAAATATACTGGGTATTGACTGTATGAAGAATGAAATACCAACCAAATTGAAATAGAAAACTATTTTATGAACAAGCAAGATGAATCAATATATATAGCTCACAAGAGGATAATCTCAATATAAATATCAGTATGTTTTTCTCTGTGAATATCAATAATATGAGAGAGTATCAATGCCTTGATGTTCGATGCTCTACAGAAATAATAACTATCCCTTTTATAGTGGAGGGATCCTACTTTAGATATAATTAAAAATACATAGTGAAGATTCCATGATAGATTAGCTTTTCCCTAATTCCCGCCGAGATTCTCTCCCTTAGTGCGGCTGTAACGGCTCTTGTCTCTTGGCTCGATCTTGATCGGACTTGGTGTTGGTCGATTTCCAGATTTAGAGCTCGATATTGGTTCGGGGCCCGGTATTTTTGGCTCGGTATTGGTCGGTCTCTAGCTCTTAAGCTCGATAACATCGTCTCACATCATAGTTCGATTTGGAATCGAGTTCGGTATTGACTTCGAGCTCGGTACTTAATTGGTCCCCGAAACTTGAACTTGGTAACCTAGCTTCAGATCTCATTTCGATATTATGAAGACGACCTTCGGTCCATTACGTTCCAATCATGACTAATCATTCGAAGGTCGAAAATTGATTTTGACTGTATACACATTTAACTGCCTAGCTCCTAAATAATAATTCTCCATAATAAATTAGAATTAGAATTAGTATTTAGCATCACTAAAAGAATGTTTATTTTGGTCCAGTCAGTAATACAA